TATTAACTTTTTAAAAAAAGATCAATTTATGATAAATTACATTGTCAATATATATAGCAAACTATTTTTGAATATGTGATCATTATATTTTTTTAATAAATATCAATAAATTTCACGTAATATACGTTTACACCATTTATGTTCTGCTTTTGATTTCTGCAACCTTTTCAAAGTCTATTAGTTTAAAAGAGAATGTAAAATATAAATAGTTTAAATAAACGATTTTTTATATAAACTAATCTTCAAAAATACTTTATGGATTACACCTATATTCAAAGATACTTCAATAATTATATTAAATATTAGAATTATATTTATATTATAATTATATTAAATATTAGAATTATATTTATATTATAATTATATTAAATATTAGAATTATATTAAATATTAGAATTATATATATACTAAAATTATTAATATTAGAATTGTATATTTTCTTAAATTTATATTATTAAATTTTTAATTACATAAATTACTATAAATAGTAAAATCTGTCTAATCTGTAAAAGTTAAATTTTTAATATTTTTAAATCTCTCGCTTCAAACCTATAGGGGCCATTTTGACAGCCATTTTAGCTTATTTGCTTTTTTAACATTTTTTAATAGTAGAAATAGCGGCCCATAACCACCAAAGTTTGCCATATAGCTTTGCAAGTGGTCCTAACAATTTTTTGGTTTGTAGATATTCCCATTTTGAAGGAATAAGCTAAGGTAGGATATCTACAGCCTGTAGCTAAATATCTAAATAAAAAATATATTTAAATAATAAATTGCTTTATTTTTACCTTAAACAAACCATTAGCTTTTCTTCAACACTTATTGGATATTTTATAAAATTTGTGGATGTTGTAAGCAATATTGGTTTTACATGCTCAAGTATGTAATAAAAGGTTTCCTATTAAAATGATTTATAGATAAAAATACTTTGGTCATCCTCATATAATTGAAAAAATTAACCTTATTTTTTAAGAGTTTAGGAAAGAGAATGTAAAATTCGCCCTCTTTTCTTTTATTAATATTAAGATTGTTTAATCTCCTCCTCTTCAATATTATTTTGTATAAGAGAAATAATATGGCGGCTCTTTGTGAATTAATAATAACGCTTAGCACTATGAATGTAAATCGCTGCGATCGATCCAGCTGATCAGTCGCTGCGAAATCGCGATCGCAATCGCTCTCACTATGAATTCAGGGTTAAGGTAGTTTTGCATGGTTTCACGTCATTACAAAGAATGTATTATATAGAGAAAACAATTATAGAGAATGTATTTTATAGAGAATTATTTTATAATGTATGTATTTTATAGAATTATTTTATAGAGAATTATTTTATAATGTATGTATTTTATAGAATTATTTTATAAAGAATTTTATTAAAAATATGATTATTTTATAAAAAATGTTATTTATAGTCATAGGGAAAAAAATTACAGTATTTGACATAATATTATATATTAGAATTACCTTATATAAGAGTAGTTTTTGAATTATTGATCGGTACAGATAATTATTTGTTTATCTTTGGGGCAAGGTTTCTCGATTATTAGATGAATTAATGGTAGAACAAAATTTTTGACAATGATTAAATTTTTTTACAAATTTAAATTTATCATTTTTGTAAATGTAACTAGTTTTTAAATATTTTTTAGCTAAAGTGTAGCTAGTTAATGGTAACCACTTAATTTGACAAAACTAATGTAGAAATTTTCATTTTATAAGCTTTTTTTATTTTCAGCAAAATTTATTTAGTTCTTATATTATTATTCTTCCTAAAAATTTTCAAGTTAAAAGTTATTTGTAACTAAGAGATGAACCAAATTTTGACATGATTTGTAAGAAATTTATTTTTAAAGATAAGAATACAAAATAAAATGTATAGTGTTGTTAAAAGATACTTTGGCAATGTGAATGTATAGTGTTGTTAAAAGATACTTTGGCAATGTGACTTAAAGAATATGTTTAATACTATTTGTATATGAAGTTTTTATAAGATAAACCTTGATAATGTACTGAGCTTAACAATATTTATTTCGAAATATCAAATAAATTTTTATTCATAAAAAATCCAAATAAACATAGTGTAAATAATATACCAATATAAAAAATACAATTATATGATTAAATTAAACATTTAAATTTAAATTATGGGATAGAGCCCTTAAATAATCCACCATGGTTCTTGAATAAAAATCTTCAACAATTAGAAAAATCCTTTTGGATCTTCTAAAATTTATAATATAATATAATTACTAACTCTTTATAAATTTCCAGATCGTTGGATGATGAGAACTTATATGAGACGAAAAACTTCGATGCCAGTTCTCTACTGAATTATTTGTATTCGGTTCACGAGATAGTGTCAATTAGTAGTATTTCCATAGAGAAATGCTAAATATTGGCTACTTTCTCTCCATAGTTATCATTTTACGTCTCTTCAAAGTATTCTATCAAGGGGGAGAGAATATCCCTATTTTATTGATAAAATTTAGAGACATATAATTCCTCGAATCCATGAATTACATTCTCAATTGGTACATATGCCAGTGACATTAACATTTTTATGTGCGTAGCTAAATTTGTTTCAGTTTTGTATGCATTGCAAATTAGCCAGATTATTTTTGAACCGTGCGCCATATGCATTAAGACATATGAAACAGGCATCCGCGCAAAAGTAACTGGTTACTTAATTTATATATATATTTCAATAAATATAATTACATAATAAATTAAAATTTGTAAATTTTTTTCTAACATTCTTTTGCTATATGATTTAAAATCTTAGCCAATGAATTTATATTAATATAAATAACGTAATTTAATAGATCAGGCTAGCCCTGAATCTTCTATCCACTAAAAATAAATGTAACTAGTGGCTAGTTATATTTAAAAAAAATGAAAACTATTAACTGTAACTTGTTATATTATCCAAAATTTAACTACTAACTTAACTAGTTACATTACATTGCCAAAGTAACTTTTAACAACACTATCTATTTTATTTTGTATACTTATCTTTAAAAATAAATTTCGTAAAATTCCTTAAAAATCATGTCAAAATTTTATTCTACCATTAATTCATCTAATAATCGAAAAACCTCGCTTATATAGGGTATTTCTAATATTTAAAATTATGTAAAATACTATAACTTCTTTTATAAAATAATTCTCTATAAAATTATTCTTTATAAAATAATTCTCTGTAAAATCATTCATTCTCTATATACGACATTCTCTATAAATGACATTCAATAATTGTTTTTTCTATAAAAAATTCTCTGTAAAATACATTCTCTGTAATCGACATTCTCTATAATTGTTTTCTCCGTAAAAGTTTCTCTTATAATTGTTTTCTCTATAATGGTTTCTCTGTAATGACGCGATACCGTTTTACACTAAGTTATGGAGTGCCTAAATTATAATACCTTAAATATTGTTTATGATGATATACATAGATATTGTAATCGAGAGAGATTGCAGAATATAACAAAATCTTGAGAGTGAGATACATTTCCATATTCTAGAGTTACTTTCAATTCGCGCTACATCTAAAGCTACTTTTTAAAAAAATGGCGCGCTTATAGCCCTAAATTAAAAAAGTATACTCACTACTCTTATGCCACCATTTAAAAAAAACCACAAATCAACTAGATTTAAGCACATTTTAAAACTATTTATCAATAAATATGTATTTTAAAAAATTTGCACAAAAAAAATATATTTTATTTTAATTTACCTAGTGTTGTTAAAGCCAACTTCAATATTCCAGAAAATGATTGCCTAATCCTCGAGATCCCGATAATATATGTCTAGACCTTTGTTCCTTCTATAAGCAAAATCTTCAGGGCTACTACGTAATATTTTTCTGGATGAAATATCGAGTTAGCCAGCTGTTTTTAAAAATCGCGTCAAAACGAGCCGTTTAACAACACTAAATTCACCGCGTTAAATTTTTTATTTATAATCATCAAATATTCCTTATTTTTTTTAAAAAAAATAAATACTCTTCCACATATATATATATTCCATAAATAAAATTATATAAAATTCACACAATAAAATACGATAAAAGTTTTTACATTAATTTGGCCTTCACTTTAATTAATTCGTCCTTTTACCGAAATGCGATATGATTCTTAATCAATATCTTTCTCATTTTTACCTTGGTGGGTTAAGACCTTCTTCGTGAAAGGCAAAATTGTCGGCAGTCGCCTGCTCAAGTTTACCTACATACCCCTTGCTACCCGTTATTTATTTTATTTTCTACTCTACCATCTCCCCTAAGAGCCTACTCCTATCTTCCCGAACGATATATGTAAAAAATGGCTTTTACCATGGTCAACCACGTAATCCCTAAAGATGAAGGCATGATTTGAAATAATGCTACTCTATATCTATACGAGATGTCTAAGGTTATATTTTATATATTTTTAAAAAAAAAATGTATTCAAAGCATTGACTACAACAGAAGTCTATGCTATGATTCAAATCGACTGATGACAATTTATGCGGATGATTAAATTAAATATATATTATTTTATCATGAACCCCCATGAGACTTAATTAATATATCGTCTGTCTATCGACATTTTCAAAATTTTTGAACCGGAAGTGGTGGATAAAAACTTATTTATTCCCAACAAAACTAGATTTTTTTTAAAAAAAAAATTAATTTTTGCCGAAGTTATAGCTTTGTCAAAATTGATCAATAAGGTATTCTTATATTTGATTTTTAAGATTTTTAATGTTGATTTTCTCACTTTAAACATTTGGGCGTGGAGCACGCCAATTCTAGGGCCTGACGATATCTTTTAACAAAACTAGCATTATATTCAAAGTTTATTGTGTTATATGCAACTCAATACCCTCGTTTTTAGTTCTATTTTTTTTTTTACTTTTGAGCATGAGTGGTGATAATAATTAATAAGTATGAAGAAAATTTAAATTCCGAATAATATATTCTAATAATATAATGCGCGATATATGAAATGAATTAAACAATGATAACATTAAATCACATATTGTTTCCGATTCTTCTACTTATCCAATTGAGATATCTATTCACATTGGTGTATATTCCAGGCTTGTTTGCCTTCGCACATGATATGCCCCAGCTCACTATGCCACGAAGATACCAAGTCTTCTGAAACTGGCAGGCTAATGGGCCACCGCTATCTCCCTAAATTATATAAATATTTGATTGTTAGGTTTTAGTTTTCATTTTCGTGATGATAACGAGACAAGAAAAAATAAATTATGTATATGAATATAATTAGTATCTAATAATATTCACTAAAGTAGCTATTAGGTTTTGAAAATGAGCTCTCTTTGAAAAATTATAACCACATTTGGAATAAAATATTGGTCATAGGTCTATCGAAAATTATTTGATATTCGATTCGAGAATCAAAATGGAACACTAATAATGATTATATATAAAAAAATATATTGACCAATAAGAAATTAAAAATTTATTTGTACAAATTATTCGTAAATTTTGTTTTTGGAAAGTGGTCAATTTCCTAAAATTTTTAAAAAAGTGGGTTCGGAATTCCATTTCCTGGATTTGGCGAAATTTCAAGATTTATTAAAATTATTGAAAGAATTTTTTTCTAGAGAATAAGTTCTAAAATGAATCCCACAACATTTAAAAAAAATAAATAATTCCGTTTTAAAACAGGTTTTTCCAAAACCCAATGGCAAAGTATCTTGTTTTTTTTAAAAAATATATTATTTTTAACGAATCTTAAATTTAAATTTGATAAATTTCACAATTCTCCTTACTAAAGTTTCGTGGAATTCTTGATAGCTGCTAGACATCAAAATTTTAATCTTGATGTGGTTCAATATAAAATCCAGAGATTAAAACAAAAAAATGAGGAGCTGGATACAAATATTAATGGAAAACTATTTTTATCAAAATTTTATCAGAAGTATCGATATGTTGTATCGTATCCACTCTCTGAATTTAGAAAAGACGAAACGCAAGAATAAAATTATCCTATGAATTAGTGAACATTTTTTTGCAAAAAAGCTGTGCAAAAAAAAAATTCAATCATGCTTTACTTAGTTACTTCAACATATACAAGATATTCCTATATTTTTATTTTTTTTAGCTCATTCCATTTCCCTGTTTCTACTAAATTCCCTGAGACCTGCTGCGAGAGCCAGGAGTAGTCTAGAATAGTGTTGTTAAACTGCACAGTTTTTGAGATCCCAATAATTTAGCCAAGAAATATTAACGTAATCCTCAAGATTTCATTGATAGACATACAAACCTGTCTACCTTCATTATGCAAAATCTGTAGGAGTTTTGGCTAAACTATTGGGTTAATTATCCAAAAAAATCGCGCCATTTTTTTAAATCAGCTAATGGCAAACATTTATTAATTTGTCACATTATATACACATATAAAAATGAAAAATGAAGGCAGGATCGAGAAGAAATAAATCACCTGTTAGATATAATAATAAACCTGGCAAGCATCTTTGCCTCCCTCGAGGAAACCAGCGCACAGCATATTTTTGGTTAACGTTTCGTTCATGACATTGGTCGAATTACAGATCTCGGTTTTGATTATAGGCAGATGCACATAATTGAAATGACCTTGATTTCCCTTATCTAAATCGGTTAAAATTTATTTACTTTATTTTTAAAAAAACTGGTCCTTGTTAGAGGTTTGTTTAACGGCTCGTACGGCTAACTCAATATTTCATCCAGAAAAAATATTCCGCAAGTCTGAAGATGTTGCTCATAGAAGGAACAAAGGTGGCTCAGGCAACATTTTTCTGGATAAAATATTGATTTCTGGCTAAAATATCGAGTTAGCCGTTTTGAAAAGTCGGTTCAAAACTAATACCACACTAATTGTTACTATATTTTTATTATTACAATTCAATTATGTTGAATAAATTGTGAATTATAGTTTGTGGATAGGTTAGTTTCCATAGTATTTGAGCATCAGGCAAATAAAGATATGGAGGAATATGTGATACCTCAAGCGATTGTTTTTGTATAGGCTACTATACAAAAACAAAGAGAGAATTACTATGGTCATTTTTGTTATCGATATTTTTGTAATGAGACGATTTTTTATAAAAAAAAATAATATTAAAATTTACAGTAAAATCGCACACACTATCTAAATTTTATAACCAAGGAGGCCTTTCTTAGCTCTAATATAATGTAATGGTCATCAGAAGTCGTCAGAATCACTAACACGTCAATGACACGTAATCTCAGAATCTCTGCTAATTAGAGTTTAGAGCAACTAAACGGTTAAAGTCTTATAATTTTTTTACAATTTATCCTATTTTTTATATCAAACTTTCTAATATTTTAATTCAGCAACAAAATAAAATATAATTCTTTCAGTGTTATTTTAACTAATTATTTTCCTTATTTTAAAAATATTTTAGAGCGGTATAACGAGATACTTGGTTAGAGATTGTGTCTATGTGCGGTGACCGCATATCGAGTTAATAAAACCGCTAAATTTCTATATTTTATAAAATCGACAAGAATCAAATCCGAACGACAAACGAATTGTCGAACGGATGTTTACAATTGTTATTTACTAAACCTGCCGAACTCGAACCCGTCAAAATTTTTATTTAACCGGTTATCACCGACCATTAAGTATTATTATTGAACTCCTATGTATTATACCTCGAGTATCGCCCCAACCTGAAAGCAAGCATTGATCGGAAGATCTTCCAAAGCTATTTCCGGGTAAGCAAATTTTGTTCACGTGCTTGTTTAGAACAAAACTGGAGTTCAAGATGATCAACGCTATATCGTTGTCAAATCCATGGCCTATATGTTTTTTTTTAAAGAATAATAATGATAAAGGCCCAATTAGCGGAAATTCTATCATCTAAAGAATCATCTTATTTTTGCACCGATCTTTATCTCTTCCCTTGGACGTATGCCCAAGCGGAACTTTAAAATTCTTACAAAAATATAGGCGACAAGATTAGAGCCCCTAACATCAGAACCTAAAGAATACTAATTTTACTAAAACAAAATCTACAAATAAATATTCTAAAATATAACTATTCATGTTTCTTGGGAACTTGTAGTCCCCACCTCCGTTTTTTATAAAATAATGTTTTATTTTATATTTGATATGTTAATTAAAAAAATCTAAGTAAATATGATATATATATAAAATTAACTTTTAACCGTAATCGCTAAAATTCTTGTGTGGTATATATTTGACTATTCCGCGGACCTGTTTATGCACCTGACTCACGTGATTTAATTCCAGAGAGGATATGCCAGCCACTATCGTGACTGTTTGAAGGTCACGTTTGCTTAATAAAATTGATATAAAATAATTAGTAATTTATCGAACAACATAGTCCTTCCTAGTTCCTCGGTTTAATATATCAGATTAATAGTATATCTAATCTATTACATATTTTTGTAGGGGTTATCCTTCTTACAAACCTAGTCCTAAAATTTGTTATTATAACATCTTAATTATACAATGTGATCATTCCTCCTAACTTGGCTATTCATAATTCATAGAATATTTATTTTAAAAAAAAATTAAACGTTTCAAAAGGACTTACAGAAAATTTCTCAAGCAATGCGCTGCTGTAAGGATGACGTTCGCCTCGATTATGGATCCGCCACATATTAGGACATTCATATTTATCAATACGACTTGCCACGGAATAGAATTGGCAGGTGCCCTTAACCCGCCAACCACTTTAAAATCGTTTAGATTAGGAGAAGCACACTCTGATATATTATTTGAATTATTTGGATTATTTGGTTTATTTGGATTATTTGGTTTATTTGGATTATTTGGTTTATTTGGATTATTTGGTTTATTTGGTTTTGGCCCTGTAAATTTGGGAGATGAAGTTCTTTCAGTTTTTCTTGTGGATATTGGTTGTTTAAATGTTGTAGTCGTAGAAGACCTGGTCGAGGAGTACCGTTTAGTCGTTTCAGGAATAGCTTAAAATCATCGTATAGCCATAAATTACAGCAAATTTTATTGAATTTATATAATGTTTTGTTTATTTAAAAAAAATTTCAAAAAAAATCGTAGCTTTTTAAAATTCAAACTTTTGGGTGTCTTCCTGTTAGAGTGACAACTTTTGAGTCTAACTATGACATTGTAATATGATACGCTAACCGTGAAGTACGAATCTGTTTCCCGCTGTATTATTTATATTTTTACATATAAGAAATCAAACATAAAATTCTAAATATATTCACGTTTAATATCGGCTTCCTTTCCATGTTTTCAGCCGAGTTTTCCGGTTTGAATGAAGGAGTCAAATCAACCTCGTGCATGTATTGGACTCTCAATCTGGAATTAATTTTTATAGCTCGCAAAATATTGTCTTCTATAAAAAAAATGGAAGAAGATAAACAAAACTATAAAAAAATTTAAACCGGAAAAGGATTGTGCCAATGGCAAGTTGTGCCTTCCGCAGTTGGAAACGTGCGGAGTATTCGTCTGACAATAAAATTTATTTTGGTGGAAGTACAGGGTTGAGCTGATAATTTTTTTAAAAAAAATGTAATAGCCATTAAAAATCTCTAAAAGTAAATATTTTATGATAAAATAACTGAAATTTTTTTTTAATAATGGGCTAAATGTATAGATGTGATCACATAATCGGGATGAAAGGGGAATATATGAGATGTTAAAGACGGCGATTACGAAGATATACATAGGTTTAGTGTACGCTAAAATCAATGATCCACGATACGACTAGATGGAGGCTTATAATGGGAACTTAAATAGAAGATAAATATGGGCTAAGTGAAATGGATATGGAATTGAAATAGAGAGAAAAAAAAACAAATAAATGAACTACTAACTAGTGATCTGCATGGGGTCTAATTTTTCAAGCCCGGCCCGGCCCGAATTTTTTTTAAAAAAGTATTACCGGCCCGGTTCGAACCCGAATATTTTTTAAAAAAATTTACCGGCCTAGCTCGGTACGAATTTACTTAAATATATAAATTAATTTTTATAATTACTCTAAATAAAAAATACAAGTTATATGGCGTCTAATTTTTCTATAAATAAAATCAATTATTTTTATTTTTACATAAAAAAATTTCAACAACAAAATTGATAAATTTAGATTTTAACTTCGGCCGGGTCTACTTTTGAAGATCTCTACTACTAACCACCAATAAAGGCTAATGAAAAAAAAAATAATAATTCAAAAATTAATAAATGATATGGTTTTTTTTTTTAAAGTTTTGAAATTTATGTACTTCTCTATATCCCAAGGTAAAGCCATTACAAATTTTTCACCCATCTTCCATGCTGCACTCTTTTCGGACCAGGTCATTTCGTTAAATATAACATCTTTGAACCCTCCTTTAAGATTGAACCTGACCCTTAAATCGGTCGCTACTTGAATAGAGTTCATGGGAACTTTGAGTTCCATCAATAACTTAGCTTCTCCATCAGGTAAAAGGGTTATAACGGTCTCTTCATGATTATCCATCCTTTCATCTAGGATAGATCGTTTCATATCACTTCTACCGAGCACTAAAGCGATATAACTGGGAGGGAGTCTTGGGTTGAGCAACTCGGTAGGAGATTGGAAATTGCTCCTATACAAGATAGGATCTGATTGGATAAACTTAGTCTTTATTTTGAGGTTACTGTTGCTCCTACCATTACCGGACATGCGCAGTTCGTATGTGGTGCCATCTTTGCAATCGCAATTGATATCCGAAATGTGATTTATTTCTTTTTTATTTTTGTAAATATTTAATTTGTATTTTTTTTTTAAAAAACTCTTAAACCAAATTTATTTATAATCAATAATTAATTAAAGATTTATATCTATAAAGAATTGTATCAATTTTGTTTAATTTTCGATAAATAAAAAGTAGATATTTCTTTCATATTTTGTATAGATTTTATCATTTTATCACTTTAAATGATCAATAATTCAAATTAAATGTGGATTATTTGTTAGAGAGTGTCAAAAAAAAATAAACTTACAAATATTTTGGTTAAAATTTTTTTTATATAAAAACCTTTTTCGAAGCATCGTAGTAATTCATAAATTAATATAAATATTAGATGAAACTTACCTTAAAATTTTTTTAATAAGCGTTAAAATTAGTGATGATACCTTGAATTCATAGTGGCGCGATCGCGATGGCGATTTAACAGCTGATTGATTTTTTAAAATCTGTTTATGAGATCAATTTTTATTTAACAATATTAAATTTATCTTTAATTCAAATTTTAATATAATAATCTAAGAAATAATGATTCTAACAAAGAATAATTGATCTCATAAACAGATTTTAAAAATCAATCAGCTGTTAAATCGCGATCGCAATCGCGCCACTATGAATTCAAGATTATACGGCTCAGTTTTGAGCCTATTTTTAAAAATAAGCTAACCTCAATATTTTATCCAGTAAAATATTATGCGAGCCTAAAGATTTAGCTCAAAGATGGCACATAGGATTGAACATCTCTTGGTGAAATCTCGGCGCTAAAACGGTATTTTTCCGGTTATAATGTTGAGTTAGCCCCCTTTTTAAAAATCAGCTGATATAAGGCGTTTATTCTTCTTCTTCAAAAAAAAGATATCTTAAAAACCGGGTATAATTAAAGATAACGAAACCCTACAGAATTATGGGTTGGCATAGAACAGAGGCTGCTTTAAAATCTCTGGATAAATCCCCCCAAAACCTTTCGCTAGAGAATTAAAAACTATTTCTTAGCTTCAGAATAAGAACCAGAATTAAATTTTTACATAGAAGGTATCCTACAATTTTTATCCTTATTTTACGTGAATTTAGGAAATTCTTTAAACTACTGACATCAGAGACCTGCTGGCCCGTTAAGCCACAGCTCGGCCCTGGCACATGAGTCGAGCCGTATTTCAATTTTTTTTTAAAAAAATTTCCCCGGCCGGGCTAGGTCAGAAAATAATTTATTTTAATAAATATCCGGGTTAAAACCAAATATTTGAAATCTCTATTATTAGAAAATCAAAAATAAATATAATATAATTTAAAAAAAAATTCTAGCCAGGCCCAAAAATATAAAATCCAAGCTGGGCCGGGCCGAATAAAATTTGTAAAAAAAAACCCGGGACTAAATTTTCTAAAAAAAAATCCGGTTCGACTCATGCGGATGGAACTTCTGCAGGCCTCTGACTGACACTTATAGATTAAATAATTTGAGGTCACTATATTTCATGATACAATTTCGTAGCTATAGACAAAGTTTTCTTTTTAAAATACACCTCTAATATATAATATATATGTGGTTAGCCTAAAATAAAAAATTATTTAAGACATTCTCTAGGTTCATAGGTATAACAAAAATTTGGGAAATTTCCCACACCATCAAAAATTTGCTTATTTCCATAAATGCTATTTTAACCGAATAAAATTTTCCCTCTATACCCCCCCCCCCCTACCCCTTCTCAATGTATGCAACATATCAGATATCACTTTATAAACAATAATTAAAATGAAAAAATAAGTAGAATATGAATAATAATTTTTTTTTAAATAATAACGACTATAATACAGCAAAATGTGAACAAATAAGGGACTCAAAGAACTCCAATAAAATTTATGGCAGACGGACCTAATAGCGCTCCTCCTTGTAGGTAAAATCATAGATAATCCTAATGATCTCTATCCAATATTCAAAGCCACATTTACCCAAAGCTTACCTAATATTTTACTACTCAACTTATATATAAGGCAATACAAAATGTGAAATATACTTGTTGAGCATGCTCCCGTCTGCTGTGGATGATCAAATATTAAGGATTCAGAATATCGAAATTCCACCAACAGTAGGAATATATGAAGTATCAAATAATTTATATTATTTAGCTCCATGAATCTACGGTTAATTATTTTATTTTTTTTTTCCCCTTCTTTTTATAATAAAAAATATCCCCAAAAAAAAATATTTATGAAATGTGTTTATATAATGTTACGTTAGCTTTATTAAATTTTAGAAATAATGATAAAAAATAAATATATAAAGATATCGCCCTTCGGCATCATTTTTCTAAGAATTTATGAAAATAGTAATAAAAATGAAATAAAATTTTTAAAAATTTTATTACATTTTTATATAATTATTTATTATAATAAATTTTACGGGATCATTAATTAAGATAAACGAATAGCAGGAACTCATCTTATTCCGAAAGTTTTGGAGATCGGAACATCCCGGTTATAACCGGCCCGTTTAAACTTTCTTAAAAAAGGTTTGTCGGTCTGGCCAGGTTCGTAAAAATATTATTCCCAAGCCGCCTTACCCGGCTTCGCTCTAAAATCCTTTCTAATGCTAGGGAAAAAGATGTCCCATGAATAAAAATCATGTGTTTTTTCATTTATTGCCACTAGGAATGTCCTTTTAAAATTCATCGTTCTGTTATAATATAAAATTATGAATAGAAAGCAAAAAACGAAATATCGTATTAGATCCTATTTTTAACAAACTGGTAATTTAACATCTATGTGAGTGAAATAAATTTTGAACAAAATTGTATATATGATCAAGATACAAATTATGCATTAATGGAAAAGTATAGACCTTAATATCCAGGATGTGAACCTGAATTTGGTATTCAGGAATTTAAAACTCTATTTAGCCTAAATTTTGATATGAAACGAATTTTTGAAAGAGGTACAAACTCGCCCCGGATCCATAATACTGCGGACTTGATGGATTTTCCAATAAATCGGTCTCTGTTTTAGTCTGGGGTCTTAAAATTGCCCAACCAAACAATTTTAGAATTCTGAACACGTATTAGGGTTCACAACAACTCTATTAATATCCCAGGTATTTCACTTTTATAGTTTAATAATGCTCATTAAGCTTATATCATCGATTAATTTAAAGAAAAATATGATTTACCAACAAGATCAAAAGTTGTTAACGATATTATTCAATAGTTTATTATTGCTTCTCAGGATTATGGCTATCAATTATAGCTATAAGGAAAAGGTTGGCATTGAGAAAATCTTGACTCATGCTACTATGGAAGCTAAATATTTCGGGATCTTTCGCAGCATTATGACACTCGTGGAATGGTAAAGATAGTGAAAATAGCGAAATTAATGAAATCAAAAATGACAACCAATGAAAGTAAAGAACGCGTAGTAGGAAATAAAATCGTAGAGGATAAAATTGTATAAGAAACCTAAAACAACATACGACGAAAATTTAAGGATGAATCATTTACAAAAACACGATTACAAGAACAAGTTAATTAACGTAGAAAGGTGAAAGTGTGATAATAAGTTATTTGGAAAATGTAATGTATATTTAT